GTGTGTGTGTGTGTGTGTACATATATATTGTATATATATATAGAAGCGCGTAAAGGTCGATTGTAACTTCACACGCCATGAAACGGCTGTGATAAAGAACGTATCGACTTACCATCGTTAGAAACGGCATATTTGGTCAAATATTCGCAAAGAGAACTGATATTGACCGAGTAACATTTCATACCAAAACGCGGTATGTGAAGCACCATGGTGGCAATTCATTGCTGAGAGATATACTCAAAAAGCAATTGACACTCATGTATTTCTAGCCCAGACCTGCTGAACTATATGGACCAATGTACAGCAAACAAGGTGACCTTGGAACACCTACCTTAATGCCTTGTCTATTGTCTGTGACGGTTTCCCATAGAACAAATGCAGAAAAGAGCTCAGATCTTCCGCTTCGTTTTCGCTCATTCCCAGATCATTGCGTGTCAACTCGACCAATTTGTAGTTCCCGTCGGAGCCATAAAACGGGTGCAGATCTGATTCGTGGAATGTTTCGAGCACTTTACACGTGGTTACTATGTTGAACATTGTTTGCTTTCGCTGATAGTACTTTCCTGGTTCAGTGAAGGCCTGTGGTGTGAATGAATGGCGAGTGTCTTCGTCAACACAGGACTTTTCGCTCATCAGCGCTTGTGAACGCATACACACACTGCTAAGCTACCGACGTTGCGTAATTTTATACAGTAGTACATACAGCCGAATATGAAGATTGATGCTCACGCCATGTATCTCGCTGTGAACTATACTCATCGGCGCGATAACACGCACGGTTTGCATACGGTAGCTTTGAAATATTAGGATGATCATCTACTCATTGGTATGACAGCGACATCACAGTCGAAGTATCACAACGGCTCGTATGCACAGTACGCACAACTAGCCGAAAGAGTATATCAACATAAGTCCGTTGAGGAAAGTGCACTCTGGATATGTGTGAGTCCGTTTCTGTATTCTCACACTGAAGGTGGAATTCATTTACATACGAGACTCTGTCAGAATTCCGTTTGCGTGCCTAGCAACGTACATGCAGACGTCTACAAGCACCAACGTCTGGTTTGATATGGTTAGCGAAATAGGGACAAGTCCGTACGGGTGTAGAGTACCCTGCACGACCTAGAATCTTCATGTGCTTCTAACCAATCAAGAGCAAATATGCATACCGTTTCGCCGTACTTGCTAGCATTTCTATATTCTAACTTCGGCATAACTGCCGCTTAAGTTCATCAAGTAGTGAACTGGTTTCGCAGAATTGTAGTCTTTGTGCACGTATGTGCATCACCTGTGAAGAAAACACACACGTCGAACGACACACTACTTACCCGTATGTCGTTCTCGCGCATCAGAATAACAAGCGATACAACCAGGGACTTCGGGAACACTACTCCACTGCAACGGGAGAAAGGGAATAATCCTGAGATACATACGCATAAGAAGTTACGTACAGGGATCTTTTGCATATGGTAGACTGTACGCCATATGGCAGGAAAGCTGCTTGTAAAGACCTATGCAAACACACATGTCTTTTGCGTATGGATCTACATACACAATCAAATCAATTGATGGGTACGATAGAGCATAGCAGGCGCATAGATACAAGTACCTTTAGAACTGTGCATATAGATAGTTGTGAACAATAATATGTGAAGCTAACATTTAAAAATCGGATGTATAAGTTACCTGCACCCCACGAGCGCACCTCTACGAGGGCAAAAAAAACGATTCGAATAGTTGTACAGAGAATCCACAGATGTTTTCATACCCTTCAAGCATTTGGAAAGCTATATTGGACAACTGTTCTATCCTGCCACCTACTAACGATCCAGTTACCAACACCTTCTTGGCGTATCCAGGCTTGCCGTCTTCGTAGAGCCATCGGCTGGTTTGAACACTGCATTAAATATTAGAACCACTATGCATATCAGCAAACGATTCAAACCGGAACCAAACATAGATGCCGTTCGCCAACGGTTATGTGGAAGTGCTTCTTATTCCCTGTATATGTATACACGTACACTCCTCAATTTTTAAATATACCTGTATATTTATATCGATATATATCCGATTCCACAACCAAACGTATCAGAATAAAAGCCCCCACAAATCAAATTGTGTTTCGGCATCAAACAAATCCTCAAGTCGGTGAGATCTCCGACCCTAAAGCCCAGAACAACATGAATATACGATTAAACCCCTCAGAGGAACACGCCTACACGACTAAGGACCCCCAGACAACAGGTATACACTGACTAAAGCCCATAACAACATGAATATACGATCAAACCCTTCAGAGGATCACGCCCACACGACTAATGACCCCCAGACAACAGGCGTATACTGACTAAAGCCCATAACAACATGAATATACGACTAAACCCCTCAGAGAACAAGCCGGTATATGGTTCAAACCTTAGAAGCAACCGCGTACATGAGTATAGACCCTTCGGAAAGACGATATGATGTAAGCTGAACACTTGCACAGACCAAGCCATATGGTATACGAACGAACCGCAAGATGCAGGTATCAGACATCCTGAACTTAAGACAAACGCTGACTCAACAACGAGCGAGACAATGGACATGCCGAATACGCACACGTTTTAGGACACCACACAGGAGCCTTCTGCACTGTTTTAGCCCTACAGCCTAAGGCATGGGCCAAAGGCATACTGATCGTGACTTCGCAACTACAGCCATTGAATTTAGCACATACGAAGGTGCCGCACGATGTGTACAATCACAACCCAGGCCAAGAAAAAGGTTCCCAATGGGAAATCCATACATGCACTCGGTATATGACGTCGCATACGAGTCTTCCGCACTATGTTAGGCTCTGAGACCCACGCCATAAGTAGAAGGCCTGACAAGCACCCAAACATTGACCCAGATAAGTCTGCACATACGAACGGTCCGGACTGTGCAGACCAAACCACTCCCTCCTGTCGCTAGAGTATCGGCCTTGCTCACGGAACGTCGCCAGCACCTCGAGTTCATCCCGAAGATCGACGTTGGTTTCAATCGCTCTGACGCTTCTCGCTTGACTATCTATCAATCGCCGACTCAGAAGACCAATACCTGCCTATAAAAGTACCAGGTAGCGTTGCAGAGGCGTATGATAGTTAGTAAGTCATGTAAATCGGAATCTGTGTAAGTGTACTAATGCAAGGCATAAATTCTGTACTAATAAGAACTTTTCTCGCTGTATTGCGAGAAGATACTTACCACGGCGACTAATATCGTTGAAGCCACATGGATGTCCACGAATTACAGCATAACCATAAAAGACACGGACATGACAGGTGCACTATATG